AATGGTTTAGGTTTTAAAAGTTGTTGAAGACCATGATGCAAGGGATGGAACACCTCTCCTATGGAGACATGTTGACAGTTGAGGCTGTTGAGCCTGGAGAGGGCTCTGGGGAGTTCTGATAGCCATCCTTCAGTATCTAAAGGGGATACGAAAAAGAAAGGGACAGGCTCTTTAGCAGAGTCTGTGGTGATGGAACAAGGGGAAATTGTTTCAAAATTAAAGAAGGTAGATTTAGATTGGATGTAAGGAAAAAGTCTTTTACAGAGACACTGGTGAGGCACTGGAACAGGTAGCCCAGAGATGCAATGGAAGACCCATCCATTCAAGATGGGAGACATTCAAGGCAAGGCTAGATCGCATTCCGAGCAGCCTGACTTTGTGACCTTTAAAGGTCCCTTCCAACTCTAAGGATTCTATGATTCTATGATTCTAAGTACTATATATATCAAATATGGGCTGGCCTAATTTTAAATATAGTAATATAATTTCAATTGTAGTTTTTATATCACAGACTCATAGAACACATTGAGTTAGAAGAAAGGACTCATAAAGATCACTGAGTCCAACTCCTGATTCTTTCTATATTTTGCTATTTTGGCTCTAAGTCTGTCATATTTAGATACATATGACATAAGTGGTATCAGTCATGCCTTACAGTCTAAATGCTTTAACCAGGGAAACAGCACAAAAATAGTATTGGAGCAAAGAGCACTGTTAAATCACGCTACGTGCACTTATTTACTATAATCAGATGAAGAAATGAAAAAGCCCTATTTCACCACATTATCAAATCACTGCAAAAAGCATTTTAAATTGAAAGCAGAGTTAGAAATTAAATAATTTAAATATGTTTTCCATTATAACAAAATAATGGGACACTTGCCTTGAGATGGGGATCCATAAAAAATGCAAAATTATGGTGTTGATCAGGTAGAACATGAAGACCTTTCGCTGGAGTTTTGTGACCTGAAAGAAGGGGGTTCCTATTGTGTTAATCAATTTGCAGCAATCCTTACTGTTTTAAACTGGATGGAAAAAACTCATGGTTTTTCACTAGAATCAATGAATAAGTGTTGAGCTAACTGATACTACTCTGAAAGGAATTACAAATGTCCACAAAAACACATTTTTGTATACACATACTGTACATTCTTGAGAACAAAAGAACAAATTTGTTAAATCAACAAACCTCTCTGCTATGGGGCACGTGAAAAATGAGTGCACAGTGAAATATATAATTGCAGAGATGATAAGTATCACACCCTTAGTGAAACCTCAGTATTTATTCACGCAACAGAACACCCACACCAAACAGTTAACCCACACCAAATAGAATAATAATTACAGTTATGACTTCATTGTCAGGCTTGCATTTACAAATACACCTGTAGGATCAAATCCTGAATGTGCAAAGGAATTTGAAACTGCAGAAAAAGGGAAAATTCAGTTGCCATGTTAATTATGGAAGGGGAATCTACAGGGAAACAGTCAACTTAAAGACTCTGTCTCGCAGCACCAAGCATCTTCCTTACACAAAGCAAAACACCCATGAAGAATAGTTCTTAAGCAATCTTCCTTCTCTGCTAGATTCTGAAGTCATAAAACAATCTCCTTTGCCAGCTTCTCACCATGCTTTGGTATCACAGAGCTTCACTGCTCCATTAACTTAATTTTCCCAGTAGTTGCAAAAGGCTGTGCGGGGACATTTAAAGTTACCAGTGTTGATTGCCAAAGTAATATAGCTGTACACTTTCTCACAAAAGAAGACCTCCTGGACACTGGAGATGTTTCTAAATACCTCAACTCATACATCTCAAAGGCTGCTTCTGTATCTGCTTTTTTTTTTCCACTCATCACCAGCACAGTGGATAAACAGTGCAGAATTTGCTTGCAAAATGCCTGACTGATCTCTCTTTTAGCACAACTTCCCCAAACAACAATGCTGGGGAATGATGTCTCAGGACTGATGTCTAGAAAGATTAGCACTTTCAAAGCATCATGTGCCTGTGGGTTGCTAGTTGGCCTCTGGCTTGAATAGCTGAAATCTGGAATTTGCTTATGCATTGAAAACAGCATCTTAAAGCTCAACTACTTTTTTTTCTTTTATTAATCTATATTTACACATCTGTAATCAACATTCAGCATCACAGGAAAACCTGGAAATGAATACTAGGTTTGGAAGAACACTTGCAGAGGTATCTCAAATAAATTTATACTGTTTCAAGATTTTGTGCACAAGTTAAGTTTAACTTTTGCAGATAGTTTCACTGAAGTTGATATTTCACACTAATAGTGAACTTCACCCAAAGGTAAATCAACAGGAAGTCACCAGGCAATTTCTATCTGACTTATGGAACTACTCTCCATTCTGGACCACTTTCTTAACTGTAAAACAGATAACTGATTTGATGACATATGGTTTCAGTTTTTGTCTGAGTTCATTTCAAGAGTGTCTAATCCGTCACAGTATTTCTATCTCTGTCTCTGTTTGCTTTTCTTTGTGTTGGAAAAATTAATGGTCAGATAGATTATCATACTTCCTCCTTCCTTTTGCTTCTCCATAGGTTTGTGGAAAAAGCTAATCACTTCTGATTGATTTCTTAGATCTAATTTAAGTAGACCACTGAGAGCAAATAGCAAAAATAATTTGGAATGAGAAAGAAAAAAAAGAAAATTATGAGGTCTTATTATTTTACTCTCTGGTTTCTTGGGTTCTTTTGGCTTCCATTACATGACTTCAGTAGGCTTAAAAGGATTTAAAGTGAAAATTTCTAAGACGGAAACAAGGAGCCAAAAACAGCTGGAATATATTGTATGTAGAGACTTCATGGTGACAATAACATGGATAAAGCACAGTAAACTGTAAAGATGGCATGCTATCTCTGTATGGTAAAATGGAGCAAATAGCTTATTTACATTTCTTTATCTTGTTCTGAGTGATGCTCTTTTTATCTATGAGACTTTAGTGTGTTGTCTGAGTTCTCTTTATTTATTTATTTATTTATTTATTTATTTATCTATTTATTTATCTATTTATTCATTTATTTTTCTGGTTGAGATGAGCATTTCTCTGTGAAAACTCTGGGAATTAGCTTAATCTTTAGAACAGTTCAACCACACTGCTTACCACTAATAATGTCTGACCTTAGAAGCCCTGGATAGATATTCATTCTCTCCAGAAATATCAACAGACTATGGTTTTGAAACTTTGCCATTACGAGGAGTAAATTTTAGTTTTGATGGTGCAATTAATGTGAAATTAACAGACCTAACTTCAGATGTAACACATTGAAGTACATTAGGAAGGTAATATGTAATTGAAAAAAGATATGATGGCAGTCTTGAAGAATTTCCGTTCTCCCATCAACTAGATACTGGACAAATGTCTTAAATACTCTGCACAGCTATTTTTCGGGAAATGCTAAAAGACACAGAAATATTCAGGGGATTGCCTGGCACTTAGCATTTATTTGTTATTTCAGGTTATGTTAAAACAGATGCTCCTTTCAACTATCACATATAACTTCACAATTTAAATACATTGTTTAAAATGGTATTTATTTCAAAGATTTTTCTTTTCTTTCTTTTTTTTTTTTTTTTTTTGATGCTTATTAGAATTTGCTGACTTGTACCTCTTTGCTGCAGCAAGGACTGTGACTCACGCGTTCTACAGCAGTGATTACGTTCAGTTCAAATATCTCAAATATCCAGCACAAATATATTTTACATGGTTGCTCCTTTAGAACCTTGGGGGATGGTGTTCACAAAAAAACTCTGTTTATTTATTAAACATCAATGATTTTTCTTTAGTGATTAAGAAATAAAAATAGTAGCTTGCTTTACCTCTGAGTTTTGCCCTGATCAAAGCAGCTGGCACAGCCCTGGAATTCCACCGTCGGTCCTGACTGGTTTCCTCTAGGAGGATTATATGCCTCCTGTGAGCAGTCCGTACCCCCTTTCCTGCTGTAGGGACCCGCTGGTGAGGTTTCACATCACTGTAGTCCACCAGGGACTCCATAACTTTTCCAGCACTGGGCTGCAGCTCAGCATCCCTTCCTGCACTTACAAAGCCTGAGCAGGGATCTACTAAAGGCACATCATCTCGGTGTGGGAATAAGGGGTAATTCGGCCCAAACGGAGGGGTGTCTGGATGGAATTTAAGGAAAGAAATGCTGTCTTTCTCTTCAAAGCTGGCAAAGTCATGTCTGTTCTCAGGACCTTTCATAAATGGCATGCACATCTTCTTCAATAGATTTTGATACTGTTGGTGATGCATCCTGTGAATTGGTTCAATTGACATGGCAGCCCGCCTTTCAGCTCCATGAGAAACCATGGCCATTCTCTTCTATTTCTCTTACGTAGCAGCACATTCAAAAGAGTCCCCTTTCTCCTGTTTCTTCAAGTTCCTGAAGTCTTAGCCAGCAAACCACAGTAAAACTAAGGGTCATCTTCCAGAACATCAGTACAAAGAATTCATAAAGAGCAAAACAGTGGCTCAAGTGGTGAATTCCTTCCTGAGAAGGCCATTTATCAAAAAGGTGCAAAAAGAATGGAGCTGCTGAATTAACAGTGAGCCTTTTTGTTACTCGGTGACTACGGAAGCTACTTCACAATGAAATGTCTCCTAGTGTGAAAGATGGTTCACATGTACCACGGTAACCTCACCCTTCACAAAGATGCAGATAACAACTTGAAATAACACTGCCAATTACTTATTTACCTACAAGAGGCAAAATTAAGATCTTTTCAATTTTACTAAGGGTTATCTGGTATTTTCATTGGTTCATTTTAAAATATTTTTTTTTATATCTAGAGAACAAATCTGAAAATAAACTGAAACACTGACTTAGAATTTATCAAACACAATCATAGAAAAATAAAAATTCAGAAAACTGAAGAATTATTACTTGGAAAAAAATAAATCCTATAGACATTACAGCATCCTACACAGCTTAATTCTGTAGCTTTGCCATTTGTTTTGTTGTTTGGCAAATCTACTAATGTCGCAGGTCAGAATATGTTGCACTCATTTCCTAATTCCAAATCCTATTGTCTTCATTTAGCAATCTAGGAAAAAAAAGCAGTCTGAATTATACTGGGATTCTGCATGAATTCAGTGCCATCTGCAAAGGTCCAACACTTCAGAAAAAAAAAAACTACATTTATTATATAACTGATGTTGTAGGATCTTTACTCCATGGCTCTGTCAGCATTAATTCACTTATGTCACTGTCACAAAGACGTAACTTCCCTGAATTCCTAAGTTGCTCTTGACTAACACGAGATCAGACATGGGGCTAATGTATATAATAGAAGGTTTAGATAATAAAATGTTATGTTCCATAATGCAGGATCATGGTGGTTCTCCTTTGGAGTTGTTTGCTGTGGGACTCAGGTAAGGCACAACATGGATGCCATTCCAAGGATGAGTCCTGTGTTGTTGCCTTTTCACAGGCTGAAATGCAAGTAAAGCTTTATCCTAGAGTTTGTTGGCAGAGATTCTGTCTAAATTATCCTGGGAAGCAAATTTGCCAACTAAGCCAACGAAGGTTGAGTGGTTTCTGCTGTCAGTTTTCAGAAGTGGTCTGTGATAGAAGGAAGCACGCAGAGGAGCTGGTCATGTGTCTGTGGCAGTACTCTTAGGAGTGTAAGGTTCACAGAATCATTAAGGTTGAAAAGACCTCTAAGACCATCCAGTCCAACGACCACCACCACGTCTTCCAGTGCCACTGTTCTGTGGAGCAATCTCTTTGATGTAAGCAGCTATTTTTCATCTCCGGCACAGCAGCCACATTTTTCCAGTAGTTAATTTTTCCTGTCAGACTTCGCTTGCTTCCTGGGCAGCTCATTTTTCCCCTCCCCTATTCTTTCAAACACTGCCTTACCTAACCTATACAAGTTAAAAATATACCACAGAAGCATGCCAGCACACTGGGATTCCAGGCACTTTATGAAGCAGCACAATGAGAAGCAGGCGGTACTTCTCATGACACTGATGCACAGTTCACTTTTGCTACTTGTTTGTTTGTTTACATATTTCTTAAGGGACAACGATGGAGCGAGATTAAGCGCGTACCGCCTGGCAGCGGGACGCTCTTAACTGCAGCTGCCGCCGCGGCAGATGTTTCCCCGGGCTCTGAGGATGTGAAAGCACCACGCTTTCTCTCGCCGGAGCGCAGAGGTGCTCCGCTCTGCGGCCGGGAAAGCCCCTCCGCAGACTTCCCCGCGCCGGGTCGTCCAGCGCGCAACCCGGCCGCCGGGTGCCCGGCGGGGGTCGCTAACGGCTGCCGAGCAGCGGCACGGCGGGCGGTGGCGGCGCAGAGCGCGGCCGGCGGAGGGACGCGTGGCCGCCCCCGGGCAACGGCCGCCGTCATGTGCGGGAAGGGCCTCCTCCTGCTCGGCCTCCTCATCGTCCTGCTGCAGGCGGTCCAGGCAGGTACGTGCGCCTTCACCGTACGGTGACAAAATCTCACAGCCCTTCTACACCCACCGGTAGACGTAGGAAAGCTAAAGGGTTATTTTCCTCAAAAGCGAACAGTGAGTTCTGAGGGGAGAGGTTTTTCTCCTTGGTGAGGCAGCTGGCGGCTCGGGGACCGAGCTGAGAGCCGCATGTCTGTCATCAGCTCTAAAGAACGTAGGTGGCTCTGCGGTAGGACACCAAGATTGCACTTGTCGGGAGCGGTTCTGCTGATCTGCTATCCAGCGCGCGTGATCGCAGCTGTCAGCTGACATCTGTTGGGAAATTTGGTTGTACAGCCTCGATGCTAAAACTGGGATTGCCTTGAAGTCACAGACCGGCAGGGGTTGGAAGGGACCTCTGCACATCAGCGAGTCCACCCTCTGCTAAAGCAGGTTCCCTACAGGGAAGTGTCCAGGCAGGTTTTGAGTGTCTCCGCAGAAGGAGGCACCACAGCTGTCTGGGTAGCCTGGTCCTTTGTGAAGTTTTGAAGTCTGAATGTAACAAGTCACTTCAGGCTTTCTGGTAATACTAAACTAGATTATTCATTTTGGGCATCAGTGTGTTTAGGTGCCAGATTTTTTTATTTGCCAATCTGCTTTTGGCCAAGTTTCACTAATTCCTTTCTGAGGACTTTTCCATGAGCAAGATTAGTAGTGAAGTTCTACTCCGACAAAAAAAAAAAAAAAACAATATCAAAAACACATCGTTAGCAGCATTCTAGTATTTATTCACCGAAGCATTGCTGTTATACTATTGCTTCTATCCTAGATTTTAATAGTCAGAATAGACATTATCAATTCCAAAAAAGACATTAATTTTAATTTTGTGTCACTGAGATGTTATTGTTACACTCTGGATTCAGATTGATGTAAAAAATATGAACGTTTTCTCGTTTTGTTTACTAATGCTTGCATTTGGGGTTTGTGTAGTTTTCTTTAAAGAGCACTTTCCATCAATAGGCAGCTTGGAAATGCCAGCTGTCATTAAAATGTTTGGATATAGGAAAGCACTTGTCTATTAGCACCATTGGGTAAAGATAAGTAGTATTGTTGCTTATATTGTCTTTTGGTATGGAAATCACTTTACAAAAATTACTTCCAAACATAATTACTTTTAAAAAAATTCAGCAGTCACCATAACTTAAATCTCTGTAATTTTATAAGTTTCATTTATAAATGAATTGAAACTATGCCAATTGCACATTCTAGCAGTACAGCATTTTGCTCATTAATACCTTGTTTAATTAGTTAAGTCTTATTTTAAACCCTACTTCCTGCCATTGCACTTTTCAGACAAATATCATTTTCTGATTAGCTATTCTGAAGATGACTAATTTTGCTACCATAGCGTTCATTTTAAGACTGAAACAGTCAGGATAAAGTATTATATGAAATGGTTGAATTACTTCATGTGAATCTTAGAGCTGCAGAGTGGCATTCCCTTTCAACTCACTACTCCTGAAGTCATTATTAACCTAACCAGATTCTTCCTTTGGGCAGGGAGTGAGAACGGACCCCTTTACGTGGCACTGTTGTAATGCCCCATGGAACAGGGAGGAGCAGGGGAGCCTTGTATATGTGCAAGTACAATCCATTTGCTGCTTGTGATCCGGTGTTGAGACTTTTCCTCTGCAAACAAAACTCCTTAGAAATACATGGATGTCATCTCTCTCTTACTTTGATTACTTTTTCTCTTGGGTATAATTTATAGTTCAGCCAAATAGACTTTCAGTGCAAGAAAACGGAGTGTTAGCATTTTATGCTTAAACTGAACTCCCTACAGAAACTGTGGTGTAAGTTAGAAGGAAGGCTGTTGAGTTTAACTCCAGAGGATTTCAGAGTCCATTGATGAATAACATACAGATCTGATACTCAGGTAACAGATACCATATGTATCACTATAGACAGGGAAATGAATTCCTTTGAATTCCAGTAATAAACAGTTTTCTTTGCATGGCTCTTCAGGCAGCTGGGAAGTTTTCCTCAGCCTTGGAGATGAATGACTTGACTTCTCTTTTTCTGACAGTGATACAAAACTAGTTTTCTTCATCTATATTCATCTGCTTTTGTTATGCCTGTAAGGAATGCAATACGAGGAAGAATCACACCCTGTGCATTGGGCTGCTTAAAAAGCTTATGTGGAGAATTAATAAAGAGATCACCTTTATTTTTCTCAAAAAATGAATGAATCTTAGCTTTTCCCATTGCTTTTTAAGTGCTGTTGCAATTTGAGGAGATGGAATAGCATCTTTAATGACCTTAAAATACAGTTTAAGCTCTTATTTTGTCCTATCTTGATTGTGTTTTTGCTACATTTTCTTTGGAATGACCTCGTAATACTTTTTCTGTGATAAGAATCTGTTTAAACTGATCGTATGCACTCTTAAACTAGTGAGTGAAAATGAGAAGATCATTTGTGCTAGAGACTGCCTGGGGAAGAGCCATTTAAAGTGATTAGGAGGAGAGGATAGGAATTCAAGTAGGAAACGTGAAAAAAGACTTCCAAAAAAATTTTCAAGTCAGTATAGGAAGTGAGGGAAAGAGCATATTGAGGTCAGGTTCATATGTGGACAAAAGCACTTACTGACTGAAATGACTGCCACGCAAATGAAGTGTATGCGCATGACAGAGCAGGCAAATGTGATGTCCTTAATGATGCCAAAACAGTAATTTCAGTAGTTTTTTACGCTGTCTTCCTTCAGTAACTACATTCTTTGAACTTCTTCTAATTTGTTTTGTGTAAGCAGTGCAAGAGCTCCATCTTTGGGTTTAAGTTATTACTGTAAAAAATCACTGTTTCCAGTGAAGAGCTATGTATATCTGCTCCAGTGCAGTAGAGTTCTGGAAGACAATATAAATATTCCAATTAGAATTTCAAATCTGTTTTGTTTTATAACTGAAATCCTCCAATCCTTCTAGGAGGTCTTGGGGGAAAATTAAGTTATTTGAAAAGTTTTTACTCCTAAAAAAAAAAAAAAAAAAAAAAAAAAGTTGTGAATTGCTACTTGGTAAAGCAATGTTATGAAGTAAATTAAACTGTTATCTGCAGAAATCCATCATATATGATTCTACTTGTTATTTTCTTTCAATGTGCTTTTTCTGTTCCATAAGTATTTTGAATAGAATAGTTTGCTTGTATCCTCAAATGGCAAAATAGGCAGTTCTTTTAACTTACGTTGGTTATCTTGTCCTGATTGCTGGAGAGTCTGACTTCCTTCTGTTTTCCATTTCAACAATGTATGGTAAGGGAGTACGATTACCAGCTTCATAATAGATGTGGTGAATTGGTGATTTCCCATTATTGTTCTAATCAAGGTAAATCAAAGCGAAGCTGGGAGTTGACCCAGTCTTTCTTGTGTACCAACAAATGCCGCGATGGGAAATGAATTTACTAGCGTATCTGCTGCTGGCTTTACTTGGTATCTATTGAATCTAAGTTAGCAACAAGCACAATTCTGGTGCCACATAACTATTAAGCCCATTATTGCTACTAATTATATGCACAGTATTTTATTGCCATCTTTTGTGTTCAAGACTTTATATTCCTCTTATATTTACTCGCTTTCCCAGATTCCCCTAAGGAACTTAACTCTCAGTAACCCATGTTCTTTCTAAACAGGAGGTGGAGACAAAGAACACAAAATACTGAGAGGTCTGTTAGCCAGTGTTCTCTTTCTGCTGGCTTTCTGCAGCATATCTGGAATATCTGTAGAAGATACTCAGATCTGACTTGTGCTAGAATGCCCACCTGGTACTGCACACTGGCAGGTTATTCAGTTTTCTTTCAGAAGTCTTGCATGTCTTACAGAGCTTTTCAATTGTTATGAAAGGTCTTTTAAATCTCTATTTAATGTCGAAGATGCAAATAAAAACAACCAAATTAAAGCAATTAAGAGCTTGTATTAATTTCATGGAGGAAATTAAGAAAATCACAATAATAACAGAAACTATGTTGGTTACCTTGTTAGTGGTCAGTACACACATTGACTGACATCCAGACTGAGTGTATCATAACAATGTAGCTAAGTTTTATCCCCCTTTTGGGTGGTATCTAATCCCATTACCCTCATTATAGAGAGCCTTCATATAAAATGTGACAGTTCTTCTGTAAAAATTAGAAATATATTTAAAGCTGAAAATGAGAAATGTGCCCTGTGTAAGACATTAGACAAAGTTAATACCTGTTGAAGTGCAAGTCCCTGAAAGGTGTGCATTGACCTAAACCATGCTGTTTGCTTTTTCAGAGAAATGCAATAGTTGTGTTGATGCAATTGTTTTGTCTTTTAACAGTTCAGTACTCAGGAAGTGCAGAGTCAGGAAGCAATAGCTTAAAAATAGTGGGATCCATCTTATTTCCAGGTATTTTTCTTTAAACATAATGTAAACGCTTCTACCACAAAAGTGCCCTTCTCCATCATATTCCTTGTTGTTTAATTATTTAAAATGCCTTAATTAATTACAATTCTGTACTGACTTACCTATGTTACTATGACTTAGTAGGCCACAAAAGCACATATTCCTACCACTGATTTTTTTTTATTCTTGCAATTTTTATAAAGCAAAGATAATTATTTTCCAGAATTGTTCTAAAAACAACAGCATTCTTTGTACTCATCATTCTGGCTGCAAGACCTTTGCCTCAAAATACTGCTTTATCCCATTGTAGATATTCCTGCTGCTTTTTACTTTCAGTGTACGCAGAACCTGAGGCTTATGCTATATTCTACAATAAAAATTAAGAAATGTTAATTGCTTAATACATCACGTGTATCTACATAATACAGCCACTTTCTTAATAAATAAAACAACTGTTAAAAATCTGAAGATTAAAGAACAGGTTGTTCCTCACTGCCATATACTTACTTATGTTGCCATCTCTTTAATGCACATTGCATACTTGGTTTTGATAATACACCTCCCCCTAGTTTTCTCCATCTGTGTTTACACTTTCAGCTTTACTAATAGCATACCTAGAAGCATTAAACTAAAGTCAGTGCAAAATGCAATTCTTTTCTTTTTTCTACCCTGAGAATAGTAACATACATGTTTCAGCAGGGCTGCTACTGAGTAAGAAAGGAGAACAAAACTGAGACAAAATAAAGTTCTGTTCTAGAAGATGCGCGTTCAGCTTTGCTCGATATTTCTCCAGACTTGACTAACATGTGGAAGTTAGTACAAGTCGTTTTTCAGACTGTTCCATACTAAAATAACCAAAAAGCAGTTTGTGCATACAGAATAGCTTTTGTCAGCCATGGGAAACAAACAAACTTATAATTGGGCATTTAGCACTGAGATTCCTTTAGATAAATATTCCTTTTTGCAAACCTCTCTGGCATTTTACCTCATATTCAGAATACAACTTGAGGTCATAGAGTTGCTTCATGAGTATTGTGCTCTACTGTAAAATGGAAGATACACTTTCAGATTCGTGGTTAAAACTTTGAAAATACTTGTTTTCATTCAATGCAAATGGAGATGAGCTCAGAAACCTGTGTAGTTTTTTTTTCCCCTTTGTGCATTCCACTTGAAGCATAATCCTTTAATTTCCCACTTGTTCCTTGTATCATGCTGCTCTTCTCACCCTGAACTAACGTCATAAACAAATGAAAGCATGCCTTTGCAAGGTGAAAAATAATAAAAGGTGCTATATGACGCAAGGCATTTCTGATTAGAAAGACTGGGACATGTCCTCCTCCCCCCACCCTTTTCTGGGTTAAAAATCTGAAGTAACACCTGCAAATAATGTTTATTTCCATGATATTCTGCTGTACAGTTAAAAGATACACATTTCTGTTTCCTGTGTTACAAGCCACAGTAACAAGCTTATTAGCTGGGATGGACATTCTTCCTGTTCTTGAGACTATCAAAATTCTAAATGTATTTTTCTGTATCAAATGTTAATATTGATGTCTGTATTCTGTTTAAGCAGTCTAATATTGTGCTGTGATGTTAAGAGGTTTTTCATGTTTTAATGACAAGAAACAATCGTGCTTGAAGGGGAGAGAAAACTGGTGCCATTACTACTACTTGACATAATGGAAAAGTGAAAACTGTTTTTCTAAATGTTAATTCCTTCCCATATCAAATATCTAAACAGTTTTCTCCCTGCAGGGAATCTGAATGGCATGGTAAAATAAATGGCAATTTGTATATTTGATTTAATTCCACTTATTAAGTCAGATTCCCTAGACCACAAATGTTGTGGTTGTAGTGTTTATACTAGTTGTGCCTTTTCAACAGCATTAGGATAGCATGCTATATTCATGTTTGGAGTACTCTAGAGTATAAATATCTAGCATCTCATGCTTCTGAAGAACGCAAATGGTTTGCAGAATGTCATTAGGAAGGGAAATAAAACAAACTGTACACAATAAAATTACATTTACTACTGTCTTAACGTTATATATCTCACTGGTATCATTATATATCTCACAGTGATAAGTATTTAATGCTAATAATAAACTTTTTTCAGTGAAAGTTTATGTCAAGCTGGATCACAGCAGTCCACATATTCTATGTGTCACAAATCACCTACGAAACTCAGAATTGATTGATCCAGTATTCCGGTGGAATGGACCAGGTGGTTATCTTTCTTCAGGTAAGAATTTATTTTCTTACGTGGCCCTCTACACTCTCTCTCTTCTCCTCCTCCTCCCCCTGAAAGGAATCATGATAGCTAGAAAGATAGAACTGTGAATGGAGGAGAATTGAGAAGATTCTATGTTTGTATGCATATTATATAAATGATAAACAACATACATACAAATGATAAACTTTCAAGTTTTAGGATAAAAATTCAGGATAACCAGAATAAAACACTGGAGATCTCTGTAGAAAATGGTGCCATCTCTAAAGAGTACTAGACAAGGCAAGGTGTAATGAAAGCAAGAGAGGCTGAAGGTGACATTCTTTGCTGCACTGAGAAACAGCTGGGACTGTTCTATAAGGATAGAGTAATAGAGTCATAGGCAGTGTGATCTAGCCCAACCTCCTGCTCAATGACAGGCTACTTTCGGACATGAAGTTGCATATGGCTTTGACCTCTGGAGTTTGGAGAATCTCCATCTGTGGAGATTTTCTGTCCTTTCTCTGGAAAGTCTTCCATTTTATTTCTCATTTTCAGACAATATTTACCTTATTGCAGTTTTTTGTTATTGCTGCTTATCTTTTTGTGATGTATCTCGTAAAGGGTCTGGCTTATTCTTTCCTGTAAATCCCCCTAGGTAGTGAAGCACTGCAGTTCCTTCCCTAGATTTCTCTGGGATACACATCCTAGTTTCCATTGCCTCTTATCCTGTGCTCCAACTCCCTAATCCTCTTACAGGCTTCCTGCTTTACTCGCTCCAGTTTGTTAGCATCTGTCTTGTACCGAGGAGTGCTGTAGTGCCAAAATGAGTACTGAAAATAATCACTAAACTGCTGGCTGTACTATTGTTGATACACCCCAGTATGCAGTTAGCTTTCACTGTTGCAAAAGTGTGCTTCTGAGTCATGTGCAGGGTCCACTTGGACTCCCAGGCCTTTTTTTTTGCAGGGCTGCTACCAAAAATCTTGTCTGCAACTGTACATTACAACTGTATATGCTACTCTTACTCTGTTCCAAGTGCACTTGCGACATTTGATTTTTTTTGCATACTTGACAAGAAGGCATCCTGTCCTGTAATGTAGGTCAGTGGTAAAGATTCTAATCAGTACTGGTGCTTGTAGCAGCCCTGAGGAAAGTCCCTCAGATAGCTGCTAGTTACAATTTGAACAATCAAGCAATCTTCTAAATGGAGATCCATCCAATTTTCCATCTACATTGCCTATTCATAGTCACAGTTTTGGCATTCATGGGCCTTGAAATGGCTTCTGTTAGTTCCTCATTGAAGGGTGAGAATGGCTGACTTGTGATTCCCTGTTTTGAAAATGGATGTGTTATTTGCCTCTTTCTGACCGTTGGGGCCACATAGCCATCAAAACAGACAATCTCATTCTGGCCTATTAACCTGTGTATGTCCAGATCACTTCAGTAACTCCCTAACATCATACTTGTAATTTCCTGTAGTATCCCCCTTAAGCTCTGGTGGACTCTGGGACAAAGCTGGAAGGCAACCCTTGCCAGGAAAGACTGAAACAAAGAATGTTTACTACCTCATGGTTTCCATGTTCTTTGTCGCTGTCATTCAGCTCCCTTCATCCTTGGCCTAACATTTCTGTTGCTCTTGTACCGAATGTGTCTATGGTGGCTCTTCACATCCATTGCCAAGGTCAGTTTCTGACTAATCTCTTCATGACTCGTTTAAGGCTACCATTTTTCATAAAGATGCTTGTGATGAAACCATTGTCCTAAGCTGCTGGTATGGTAGGAAAGCTACTAATCACTTTTTCTTTGTTGAATGTGTTGGGCTACTTGTACATTTTTTACAATTCCCACATAATGAGAAAGATTTCTTAGAGATCATGACCTGCTCATGAGCAACATCTTTCCAAGTGTGAGCAGGGAACCTAAGTTCTGTTTTTATTTCCCTCTGTATATGTCCCATTTACTCTTTAATGTAATTTCGGTACCTTTTTTTTTAAAGTACACTGTGATTAATTTTAAACCTGTTTAATCTCTTAATTTAGTTCACAGTTTAGGTTAGTAAGTATTCACCCTTTTATAACGGCAGCGTCACTAAATTCTGTTTGCTTTCTTCTTAATCTGTACTGGTGTCTGTCAGACCTCTGTCCTTGGTGTTTGTGTATTTTCAAGCAGCTTTTCCTGTTGTGTGATCTTAAGTACCGTTGATATCATAGTGATTTTTCATTCTTAATCCGCTACATGCCAGCCTTCATCGTAGAGCATTTCAAGTTTTTATAGCATCTGACACTGCACTGGTTTTGCTTTCAATCTGATAACAGGCTTAACCTCGAGGATGAATTTATAGCATTCATTGCCTTGCAGTTAAAGATGTTTTTGCTTATACTTAAGCTTGTGGGCTCTGTCACTTTGCGTGAAAATGTTAATCTCTCTTGAAATGAATATGTAGTGGTTAGCTGTGTGTCCTGCATTGTAAATGATATATTTTGATGCCCAGTCTGTGATGCACGACAAACACATTATCAGATATATTGTCATGTGTATATGTCCTGAGTTTAATGTGATCAGACAGAAAGCAGCCTCCTGATTCACAATTAACAAAAATTGTCCTTTTCAGTCCTCTGGCTTCTGTGTACCCAAATGACAGTTTCGACAGTGTTAACTATGCAGAAGAGAAAAGCATGGAGATCTCAGACTTTCATCTGACAGGTTTAAATCTTTTCCTGAAGACTGCTTCAGTAATATCTCAAGTTGCTGTGCCAGACTTGGATGGCTAGCAAAAAGCTAGGGTGGCAGGGATTCTCAGTTCTTTGGAAACTTTAGGTACGCTAGACTCGGCAGCAGGAGGGTAAAAAACATTTCCAAAAGAGAAGAAAACATGTGTTTTCCTGGCAGAGCTTTTCTTTCAACTCAGGTATAAACAAACTCTTAAGTTTCTAGTTTATGAATTGTTTTTTGTGTGACAGAATTTTTTTTTGCCAGGCCTTCTTTCATAATGAGTCTAATTCCCTCTAAGTGGTAAAAATCACATGGGCTTCTGTGTCCAGTTAGTCTCTAATCTCTATCATAGTAAATCACCATACTGGAAGGAAATTAGCATTCATAAGCATTTATCTCAGTGTGTTCATATAAAATAAAATAATCCTATTAGTGGGAATGTAGAATTATGAATCAAGTCATGGGAAGAGTAAGAAAATGCTGCTTCTTGAAACATTTCAAAGTGAATGTACGAACTGTGATAGAAAAATCAAATTATCTTTCAGGCAAACCACCCTTTGGCACTCACAATAAACAGGTGTATTGTGCCCACCAAATTTGTCAAAATATATACACAGAACATCACGACTACAAAAAAAAACTTACGAGGAGCAGTAAATGCTCTGCTTTTTGTAGTCATTAACAAGCAAGTCTGTTTTTTGAATCTTTGTTCACAAATAGTTCTAATCCACGTATGTGTTGTCGAAAGAATAATGAAAAACAAAATACTGCACAAAATTTATTTTTAAATCATTACAGTTTTAAAATTTACTATTTTTCTTCAGTTAGCAGAGTGACTCTTTTGTGTTAAGATCTGGAAATTATACTTTGAAGTTTTGAAATGTCAGACGACTGAGAATAAGAGTATTTCAAAACACACTTTAAAGAGAAAAATTGCGTTTTATGTTCTGCATCCTAAAGTTTCACTGCATTAAAAAAAAGAATTTTGGAGGGTGTTTAAATAGAAATAGGTAAATAGAACAGAAAATGTAAGAAAGTATCTCATTCTTTTTGCTAATGCAAACATTGGAATAAGTTTGTTTTACTTTGGTGGAACCCAAGAATAAGTAAGTATGGGAAAGTTACTGCCACCTAACATACTCATGGAGCCTGGAAAATAATCAAACTTACTCCCATAGAACAAAAATAACTTCTCTTTTATTTCGTATCATGCTATTTTATGTTGACCACAAGGAAACTCTGAACTTGATCACATCCCTTGTCCATCATGTATATGAAATGCCTCTTGCGTAAGAGAAGTGCATTAAATCATACCATGTCATTTGTATCACAGAATGTGACATGAAATCCAAACTCATCTTACTTATCTTGTTCCAGCAGAGTAACATTGAAAAAATACTAGATTTGAGAAGAGAGTGCATAAATCAATTGTTTTTCAAGTTTCATTTAAAGGTAATTGTCTTTTTTTCGTGTGAATCCAAACTCACATGAGTAGGCACTATGCATCCAGATAATCCCACACAGCAAGAGATGTTTGTGTAGTTTTGTTTGTAATGCTAAGAAGAAAAGTAAAACAATATTTTGATTTTGTGATCCGTACAGAGATTCTTTACATACAGATGTACCATTAAAAGAGTTAATGACTACTGTTGTAAAGTTCTGTTCCTTTCTTTTATAGAAATATTCATTGTTCAAAGTAGGACAAAATTCTAAAATAAAACCAGTGACTTAATCCATTAGAAGAACTGCTTAACTTTCCTATTTCTAGGGATGCATTTTCAAAAAAATTCTTTGTGATCACATCTCTTCACTGGACGTCCAGGCTTTGTCTTTTCTGGACTTCTTTGTCATCTTTGAAATTTACTAATGGATTTTGTAGATGCAGCAAAAATAAGATGTTGTGATACGTCTTAAACACACTCCAGCTAGGGCAGTTGAATATGCCAGAGATCCAAACTACATTCTGAAATGTATGTTGGTTTTCTTACAATATTAATCTGCTGGCTATTTCAGCATTCGGTAGCAAATGACATCCTAGTTTATAGACTCAGCATCCTGTTTGTCATCGGATTAAAAAGCTCTTTGTCCTCCTAAATATGACAGTGTCCCATTAATGTGAGAACCTAAGTTTTTATGGAATCCCCAACATTCCTTGTAAGAGAATTTATACTTTCAGTCTTTTTAGTAGTAGTTTGTTTGTTTGTTTGTTTTTTTAACCAGCACTTGAATCATCATCTTTATAAACACAGTTACATATAAGACAAAACTAAGTTGATTAAATGTTTTAATTGATTCTTGAGGAACAAAGTCGTACCACACCCTTCTGCCAGGTGTGTGAAAAGAAGGACCTTGGTCAAGTTACTTTTGGTTAATATCTTTCTTAAAATTGTAAAGCAGGAAAATCAGCATGCATCCAGAGTAACAGTAATTTGTTAGATTGAATAGGAGTGTGGCTTTGAAGTGAATTGCTTAATGTTGCTCACTTACCACATTTTATTTGGATCATGGACTGGTTGCTGGGTACAGAAACTGGATTCCTTTTGAATAAAGCTAATTGGAAAGGTTAGCTTTGAGAGAGAACTCATGTTCTGTCTTTAAAACCAGATTAGGACTGATCTAAAGTAAGGGCCCTAAAGTGTGTTCAATACAAATCTCATGTCCTTAGGATTCACTTTTTCAGTCAAAAAAGACATGTTTTTCATATCACGCTAACTGTCTTTGATTCCATACCATAGATAAAAGACCTAAAGTACTTAGAATAGTAAAAAGATTTTTTTTCTTGGGCTCCAAAAAGCAAATTAATCTGTTCTAGAAATATTTTGTCCAAGTGAATATTTTACCTTCAGATCTGTTATAATTTGTGCTAATCTAGTGATTTCTATGACAGCTACCAAGATAAGCTACTATTTAAGAAATCCTCAGGCATGTTGTCACTGTCTTCAGGTTAGGAAAGCGTTCGTCAAATGTCATCTTGTAACCCACACGCAGACTACATGGGAGAACTGCATCTTCTCATACTGACTGCTAACATTATTTCATTACATTTTACCAGAAAATAGCAGTGTGCAAATATCACCAACGGGAACTTTAATATTTGGACACTTCAGATCTGACCTGAGTGGAGTTTACACTTGTTCCCTTGTTTATAAGCTTATCGCTGCACAACCTGATAAAAGACTCACAATAAAATATCTTATTTATGGTAAGTTATTAATGCTGTTAAGCATGCGGCTACCTTGAAGAAGATTTTCTTTTTAAATGTGTGTTGCTACCTATAAAGAAGTAATGCTTATTTAAAATTTAACTTGGAGAGGTAAAGACATTTGGTTGCTCTGGATAGATTTTTTTTAATAGCTGTTGCTAGCAGGCAGTTAATTTAATGGCATTTACAGAGCCTTAAATGAAGGTCACTTTTTGACTAAGAAATTTATGAATACAGTTCTTTTCAAAAAAGAAACATAAAACACAGTGGAATGCAACAGATTGAACAGATAACAGTCCTTAATAACATAAAAACAGTATAATTTAAAATGAAATTATTCTTTAGGAGATGAATTTTAGCACAGCCTTATGGATTTATTTCACACAGGTTAATGGCTTAATTATTAATAGAATGTGTTTTTACATTGTAAATGATGTATCAATTAATTAGATAATCAATTAATTAAATAATTCCTTCATAACTAGAGATAGGACAAGATGGAATGGTCTCAAGTTGCAGCAGGGGAGATTCAGGTTTGATGTTGGGAAAAATTTCGCCTTTAAGAGAATGGTCAGGTGCTGGAATGGGCTGCCCAGGGAGGTGGTGGAGTCACCATTCCTGGAGGTGTTCAAGAAACGTTTGGATGTTGTACTGAGGCATGTTGTTTAGTGGGGAAATATTGGTGGTAGGTTGGCAGTTGGATGGGATGATCTTGGAGGCTTTTTCCAATCTTGATGATTCTATTAGTCTGTGACAATACTGGTAGGTTATTATTTCCTGTTATGATTACATATCCATTTGTTAAGAATGGCTGATGAAGTGAAATATTACAAAGACAATATCATTTATTCATTACTAGATCTCTTTTCCTTCCTTAATTCTTGAGGAGATTTAGGTAAGAGTTTGTATTGCCTTAAGCAGGAATGATGTCTGACCTCAACTTTGAAATATGTACCCGTATTCATTTAAAGGCTTGCTAGAGCACAGTAACCTAAACTGGCCTCTGATGTAAATTAATTTGACTCTGGCCTTAGTAGCCTTGATATAGAATATCTGTAACCTTTAACAGTTATCTTGTCTGAGAGAACTGGAAGAAATTTCTTTCAAGCAATTGTGATGGGAAAGTTTACAGTTTTCAGTAATGCAGTCTTACATTTTTCAGTAAGGATCCAATCTAAATACTTGCATACCAAATTCAAAATTCAGAATATGCAGCAGCAAGTGAAAGGAAATGGGGGAAGCAAAATCAATGTGGAGAATCTAATTAGCTGCCTTAATTGGATGCCATATTCTTGATATTTTGATGCTGTACTTCCAGTGCTTAACAGGGACTACAGGAAAGCTGGAGAGGAACTCTTTATCAGGGAGTGTAGTGATAGGAAAAAGGATAATGGCTTTACACTAGAAAAGGAAAGAATTCTTTACACAGGGTGAGGGTGGTGAGGCACTGAAACAGGTTGCCCAGAGAAGCTGCGGATATCCCATCCCTGGAAGTGTTTCAAAACCAGGTTGGATGGGGCCCTGGGCAACCTGGTACAGTGGAATATGTCCCTGCCTATGGCAGGTGGCTTGGAACTACATATTTAAAGTTCCTTCCAATCCAGACTGTTCTATTATTCTATTAGTTTTTTGTTTGTTTGTTTGTTTGTTTGTTTGTTTTTTCTTTCTTTTGGCTGGTTTGGTTTCTATTCCTTCATTTTTCTTCTCTGCAGATCTCCCTCCTTATTTCTGTGTTTCTACCCACACCATCACTCCTGTTCTTCATTCTTCTACTTCTGTTTTCAATTTAGCATTCTGTTAATAGCAAGCTTTGGGTAAGTAGAGTGGTTATCATGAAGTAACTAAACCCATGCATTTCATGGTACATTATATTTGTAAAAGATGCCCAAGTGTGCATGTAGCCTTGCAGTAAAGTTTAAATAGCTGGTTCTTCCTTAAATGTAAATTTCATGTCTGTATGATAACATGTTCAGGTACTTACATTGATAGAGAAGGGATTTCTATTCAGTTATTACATCCTTTAAAATACTTGTTTGTGATAGTTGAGTAAGAAGAGTAAAATACACTACTATAACTGAAGATAATGTGTGAGTTGAAATACTTCACCACATACTACAGGATATTTTCTAACATGCTTCTTAGCTTTCATATTCTTGATGCTTCTTCTATAGTTTACTGTTGTTTTTTTAAAAAAAAAACAACACAGCCAGTAATAAACATAAAGTAACCTATGGATATAATTAAGAATATGGACTTGTAAAGTCTCCTACGTGTTTCCGACCAGTCCAGAATACATTATTTTATCATTAAAAATTAACAACAAATTAACAACAAATTAATTTTGTTTATAAGTTAAGAATTTAAAGCGACAATTTTATTTGCAAATATGTGAGTAACTCATTTTTTCATACATTTTCCTCATCATCATTTGCATTTTTTCCTGCAGCTTATTCTGATCCTCAGTATTACTATGAATTGACAGTCCAGTACCATGCAGCCCCCTGCAATAGTTTTCGTAATACTTCTTTTGGGAAGGCGTTGCTTCAGATACTCAGCAAGCTCATTGCTGACCTTTCATGTGAGGTTTCACTAATTAAGTCAGAATGCCACCATGTAAAAATGCAGAGAGGAGGCCTACAGAACGAAATGTTCTTTACATTTTCAGGTAAAAATCTGTCTTGGATGTAGAGAATGGTTAGATGTTTTATGGCTAATTGAACTTACTTCTTATATGCTGAAAGTATTAATTTCTCCAATTGTAGAAGTGCTTCAAGGTATTGCTTGTGAAGCTGCTGCCCGTAACAAAAAGAGGAAGATCTACTCAAAAGTGTGTTTTTTACATTATTTCACTAGAGAACAGAACTTTTTATAGCTGTACGTAGATCAATATGTTTTTTTATTTTGCATCATAAAACTTGATCATGTTCCTTGTTGCACACTATCATGGGAAGAAAACTGATGCATTGTATTCCATAACTCCCTGGATGACTTTCCTCTTGTCAACTATTATAGATGTATAAATCTCTCTATGGATGTGGTTTGGAGTTAAATGAGATGAATCTCAGTACAGTTCTTTCTTTAAGTGGCAACAGTGAAAGAGGGATATTTAATATTTTTCCAATTTTTTTTTTTTTAAACAAAAGAAGTATAAAGGAGAAGTGGGCAAAACCAGTTTACAAAAATGCTGGGTTAACTTTGGTATTTGTAGTTTCCTTCAATCACAATTAAAAGCAAATAATCAGGTGGTTTTGTCAGTCACTAAGCTATGGGATATTTAAGTGTTCTTACTGAGTGCCACTGTATATTGTAATAATTACAAAACATTATGTCTGATATATCTGATATTCAAATCTTTTTATACATAAATGATCTCACACTATCTCATAAGATTAATGTACTACAAATACATTTTCACCTTAACATACACTAATTTTCATAAAATGTTTCTATTAACAGTTTTTCACTAAATGCATCAGTTGTGGAAGTCAGAAATCTTAATGCTGTGTCAGTCCAAAGAAGATACTATTTTACTTTTTTTGAGAGTATTCCTTCTAAACATTCAGACCATTTGAGAAAAGGTTCTAGATCCATTATGCTATGAAAGAAGATTGAAATAGAAAGTAAAGCAGTCTCACTATATATGTAGTTCACTTGAAAACTTTGTTATCAAGAGATATCTAGTTTGCAGTTGCTGAGCTGAACGTGGATAAGAACATATCTAAAGTTTTCTTGAGCTTAATGTTTTCAATTATTTCATATTTTCATATGTATAATTACATTAGTCACTATATATCAACATAGGCAGTTTTAAAATATCCAACAAAGGATATCAATTGCACTTTGTTTTCCACTTTCCACTTTCCAAAACAGTGAAACTATTAGTTGTGTTTCTCTAAAGATGGTATTTGTAGTGGATAGCACTGACGAGAAGAGGGTCATTAGTTTAGGTTAATTCTAGTTAGTTGAGATGACATAAATGAGATTTAGCCAATGTGCAGACTTCATAAAATGTTTAAGCAATGCTTTGAAGCTTTTCTACAATCAAGGAGAAGTTCTCCAGTTAGAAATTTAGGTGGATTTAAACTTTGATGTAACCCAATGGTAAACTACACATTCTTCAGCACCTTGAGGTGTCAGTTTTTTTTTTTCTAAGCAGTTTTTTTTTTTTTATTTCTAAGCAGTTTTTGGTGTTTCAGAATTACTTCTATGACGGAGGTAGGTAAAGCTTAAGAGAAGTGAAATTAACATGATAACAGATAATGTTATTATGGCAGATTAATCAAGGGTTGGTTCTGGAGAGTAGGCCAGCAGCTTCTTAATCATGTCTCAGGCCTTCACCATATCATGCTAGTCATAGTTGATGAGGAATGTGGTCTCATGCAAATGGATTACTAAAGTGTAACCATTTTTTCTTAAATCCATTCTCAAAGTTTTCCTTTGGTTCAGTACCTCATAGAGGTTCCTATGAGGATGGAAGGGGTTGAGTGTGTGAGTACATGGGACTGAGATGAGCGCACAGGAAGAGATCAGTGAGGGGAAATTGGGAAATCTTTAAAAACGTTGATATTGATGAAGTTGTTCTTGAGAGAAAACTGGAGTCCATTCAATCTGAACAATCAGAAGGTTGAACTGTTAGGATCCCTGGCTGTTTCTAAATCTGTATTTATAAAACTAGAATGATATCTAGGTAAATAGACAGTAGCTTATTTTATTTTATTGTATTTTATTTTTTGAAAGGATTTGGATATCTATATGTCTGCAAAGCACCCAGGATTACATATTTCCTTGCCATCAGAATTTACAAATAAAAATGATTTCCCATGAAATATTTAAGTGTATGCAATATACTTAAATAGACATAGTGGTAATGTCTATAGGAGGACAAATTAATGTTTTTAAAATGTTGCAGGTTAGCCATCTGAAATGTGAAATTCCAAACAGTTGCATCAGAAATGATTAGACTCTTGTAAACAAGTAAATAGAAATGTTGATTTCACTGACTTTGCTCTTCTGTAAACAGATTGTATTTTGTTACAGTTACTTGCTTAGACACAGAAAACAACAAACTATGTCCGCAAAGTGCTTGTGATGCACCTCATAGATTATACAAGGTAAAGTAGATAGAGGAATAAAATTGCAACTAACATAATAGGCTACTCTCGTATAGTAAAATATCAACATGAAACATAGTTTAGTTAGTAAATAAACCAATATAAAAGTTTTAGTGGTTCTAAATTAATAAAAAATGTAAAATTTAGTTAAAATTGACAATATTCTGTTGCCCATATGGGTAAGGCAGATCCCACTTATCAATCTGCATTAAGGAAAGTATTTTAAGAACATGAAGAGTAGCAAGACAATCAGGAAGCTTTGGACAAGTCTTGCAAATATTAACTGTCATATTTTTGCAATGGCATGCCTTTCCATCACTTGTGATAGAAAGTGATTCTGTGATCTACTAAAATATTAGCTGCTTGAAGATTTTGGCTCTCACAGTAGAGAAAGAGAAGTCGAACTTTAGCTTATCAGGTTAACTTTGATTCAGAGATTCTTGAAAGGCAAAGGAAAAAGAGAAAGGAAGGACAGGAGGAAGATAAGCCTTCTTCCCTAGGAGGGGAACGCCTAGGACAGTGTGTATCATGAATGTACTGCTCTGCAACCTGAACTAAAGTACTTTAGGAACTTAAAAAGGAAAGCTCAAGGCAGTTGCAACCTTCAGTGGTTTTTTTTTGTGGCCTACCTCTAAGCACCTTCCTCACAGTATGTTGATTATAGATGTGCTCTCTGTTCAATATAGTGTTTTTTAATGCTGTTCTGAACCATCTGCTATTTACATCCATCCACTGTCAAGAAATATCAGGTACATAAATCATGCTTCGGGATTCAACTGGAGTGGGAAGGGAGTCACAGACATGCAGTACTCATTAAACAGTTTCCATACTGTCCATTGGAAAGAAAACCACATTTGTGGAAAAGCTCATAGTCAAGGTATTTTCATGCAGACAAGATCAAAATAAGAATGCATAAACACGTTTGTTTTTGCCATTTTTGTAATTTGTGTGTGTATTTTCTGTGTGTGTGGTATTTTCTTTTTATTGAACAGAGATATTCAGTATGGATGGAAAGTGTGAAATATAATTGGACCTAAATAATAGCACTGGTATAAGAGGGAAATTTGCAAAACTAGTGATGAGCTACAGATATCCAGTGCAGGATAGCTTTAATGCTATAATCCAGGTTTATTTAAAGCTGAATTAGTTTAAATGGTTGTATTTCTATAATCCTGAGCATTTAGAGATATTGTGTTAAGTGAGCAAGGTTTATCTACATTTAAGACAACGTATCAAAAAATATCAGATTACCTTCCTGTTTCCATTCCACCTACGTGCTACAATCAAAAGATTTAGAAATACATCCTTTAATTCTTAATCTCAACTCACACCCATGTTCCTTGGTTTTATCTTCCATTTTGACCTCATTGCATCACTGATTCTAAAAAAAATACTTATTTGTTTCAATTTAGGCAAAGGACCTCATAGAGAGATTCTTTAAGAAAGAGGTGGAAATTAGGGAGAAAAGTTCTGAACCATTGCCTGAAATATACTACATTGACGGTACACTGCAAATGGTGAGGGTTGATCGTTGCTACCCAGGATATGGAGTGAATGCTGTAAGGCATCCAGACTGCCCAGAGTGTTGTGGTAAGTGACAAAATTCTTATATCTTACAAGCATTAAATGCTGTTACAATGGTTTTATTTCAACAAATCTTGTTGATTTGTGTTTTAAATGGCTTTGTCAGATTTTATTTAAGACCTATTTAAGAGCTGGCTACCAGAAGGGAAGGATCTCTTCTGGAGATCCCCTCTCTTGGTGTTTTGTGGTGAGCTCAGCCGAAGGGTAAGCTCTTCCGCTTATTCTCTTTTGTGATCGTTGTCTACTTTGCCTAATTCTCTTGATTATATTGTGATTATAACATCTTGATATCTGTTGATTATACAATTATATTGCGATTATAACATCTTGATTATACAATTACTTATCAAAGACTATTAACAGAATGGACTACACTTTAAAAAATGAGTATTTAAAATATTGGAGAAAATAGACAGCGGAAGGAGACAATTCTAAAATTGTAGGACGTAGAAAGTGTTTCTATATGCAGTTGCTTTTTCCCATTTCTTGTCTTTGTGAGAAAGACATAATTTCAGGAAGGACAAGATATACACCAAATTCAGTGCATTGACTGCAATACAAAGTGTCAGTGCACATTATTTCAAGAAAAAATACTTGAAAATCAAGTTTAGAAAAGCTTTTAGGATGATCTGTTTTTTAAAGACTGCTGTTTTGTTTTGATCTTCCACCCTTCAGTATCTTAGTCCATTCTAAACTAATTTATATTCCTTTTTTTATTCAGAACAGAACTTTTGTCTTACCTGTTGATACAGATGCATCTTTGGCAGATATGGAGGCAAGATTTCACATCTGAAGTACCTGAAGCAGTCCTGAAACATGTCTGCTTACTACTTCCCATAGCTGCAGATGTCATCTGCCAGTATTCTCAGACATACTCTTCTCTTTCATTTACCTCTTGGTATAATTAATCTTTGCCAGAATCCTAAACATCATATCATGCGCAATATAGCTGAAAGAGTCCTCTGCTATATAGCAGTCCATCATTCTGCCTCAAAGCAAGATAGGAGTTTTTACTGACAGATGTGTCCTGCATGATCTTAAAAACCTCTAAGGTTAGACTTCACAGACTCCTAAGGACATGGAACTCAGTACTCAAAATCCTTACCATAGGAAAGCTTTATTTTAAGAAATTTTTGTGGTTTCCCTTGATTTTGTTTATACCTGTTACTTCTTGTTATGTGTCCGCAAATCTGGAAACAATTCTGTCAACTCTATCTTAGCAACAGCTTTTATACAAAGAAGTCCTAGAAGATTCCTACCATTTTCTCTTTCTGATATTGCCTTCATTGAAATAAAAGTTCAGTCTTTTGGGCCATGTTTCGGCTTGCGGCCTCTGCATAGTGTTACTACTATCCACTAAAAGTTCTCTACATTTCTTTTCAACGTCTCAGACTTCATAAGTAGTTCTCAAAAGACCATATTAGCATGGGAGAATTGCTTTGCGTATCTTAGATATATGGCTAATCACACTCACTTCACTGTGAGTATACTCACTCACTGTGACTGGTTGTTTTTTGGTTTGGTTTTTCTTTTTTTTGGAGGCATGCATGCAGTCATGGAAGCATTTTAATAAATGTATTTCCATGAAGCAGAGTTCAGCTTCTTGAGTGGCCCACTATTTTCACCTGGAGTTGCAAGAAGCAGGTCATTTAAGAGTTGAATGACTCTTAATGATATCAGTTAAGAGATTTAAGGTCCATTTTAAAACTGTTTGGAAGCTTTGGTCTCAGTTGTTTTGTAGTTAGAAGATCCAGTTTCTAATGTAAAGTAATTCATGGAAAGTTTCTATTTATTTGCTCTAGTATAGAGACTGACCTTTAACTTACATTTTTTTTACAGTCAGAACAAGTCAACCACTTTTTATCTGCTTTTGACAAACCTTAATCTCACATGCCCCATTTTGAGTTTAATTTTCTTGCACACAGATGGCTAGAATTTAGCAAGGTGTTTCAAATCAGCTCTTACCAGTGCCTTTTACATATTTAATACCTTTATTTGATGTTAAGAACATCTGATAATCTTGTTAGTTCTTTTTTTTCTTGTTAGAAAAAAACATTAGTAAAATTTGTCCAAGAGCAATCCCTTTACCAATTCCTCTCCAACTCTTATTTCTCCTTTACACATTGTTCTGTAATCCTTTCAAAAATTCCCTTCTAGTTGTAGTTTTCTGCAGTTTATTGAATTTGTGTGTGCTGCCATACCAGGTGCTTTCAGATTGATTAAGTATTTGTCTTCACTGTAAATCCACATCAAGTTGTGTTATTTTCTACACACATTTATGTGTTCGTTCGTGAGATCTTTACATAGAATAGAAATCTGACCAGCTGTTCACTAGTTTGATTCTTTTTCTCCTATCTGAAAAATATATAATGCATTTTTTAATCATCAACTGTAGATTAGCACCAGTCATACTGTATCACCACAGATGCATCACAAACCTCAGATAATTGTGTTACCTGTGTATATGCCAGTTCTATTTTGGAATATAGAAACATGTTTCTAAGCTTCTGATTTCAATCAGAATGTGACAGAATTGGAAAGAGTGCGGCATAGGCCCTGGAACATGGAGAAAAAAAAAGTATATCTACTGCTTGATTCATAAACAAAAACTTACTCTAGTTTTCATACATCAAAAAGGCGGATGTTCAGTTTTACCTGTTCTGTTTATAACACTTAGTTTCATGTCACACTAATACTTTAAAGTGATAGTTTACTACCAATAGGAGTTTTCTGTCATAGAAAAGGATTCCAAGTATATCATTTAGTATCCAGCAGCTGTGTAAGTAAGCTACAAGTCACCTAGTTAAGGTTCCATTATCCTTTTCACGCTGTCCCCTAGATAGCAGATTGCACAACAGTGGGACAACCTTTTTATCCTGTTGCAATAGAACGCTACCTTGTTCCAATTAAATAAATGAAAGAATCTGTATTATTTCCCAGAAGTGTATCTATAATCTTTGACAAAAAGAATATAGTTATTCCTCTGGTATACCAGTAGATGCTTTTGCTTATGTGTATTTGTAAAGCTTTCTCTTTCCTGTAAAGCCATCTTGAGTTACCTAAATTCATGTACTGAACATGCAAGGTGTAGATGCCATCTACAGAGGACTCCCTCTTGCATATATTTCCTAAGACCTCTAAAATCTTTTCCAGTCAATAGCAGTGGCAAAAAAAAATGCTAGGGAAGCCAGTAACAGCCCACTGAGAATCGACAGAATCCTGCCAGCCTCAACAAATGAACGTAATCCAAGTATTGAAAGTCCTGCTGAAGGTTTGGGCTGTAGAGACTAAGAAGTCGTTACTAAGCTAGGCAAAACCAAATAACCAGTTAAACACAGACTCTCTAAAAGGATGGAATGTCTTAAATACCACTGCATACTGAGTACTAATGCTGTTCATTAAAGATCTTTCCTAAACTAAGGCTAATATTGCCAAATTGAAGATAGCTGTAGAAGATAAGTTTGAGATGCAACCAAATAGCTGAAATTCTGCTTTCATCAACTAGCAGAATACTGGGGAAAAATAAATGATCTTTCTCTTTTCAAATAGATAAAGATGTATTCTGGATATTTCAAATGTAAATAGTTCTGTATTAATGCCATTGAAATTCATTGATTTTTTTGTGTCCATATAGTTATCTGCAGCCCAAGATCTTACAATCCCAGTAATGGAATTCACTGTCTTCAGTGCGACACCAGTTTGATATACGGAGCAACGACGTGCTGACAATAGAGGGAATGGCAAAGCTGCAATAGCTCTCATGCATTTTAACCTGGTAATATTAATAAATTTTTTTATTTAAATATTTAAATATTTACCTGAGTACAGTTTGTTCTGGTTACGTCAATAGGATACAATTGTTTTTAAGAAATAATGATTCGTCTGTATATTCTAGTTTGCATCACTTAGGTGTACTTCATTTTTAAGGTCTTTGTAACTACCCACCAGATTAAGAGCAGTGAAGATAATTAACTATTTAAATCAAAAGAAGAAGAAAAAAGGTGGAGCTATTTTGCGTAGTTTGTTCCAGTCATCTCCTGTTGACATAGATTAGCATAAGGACTCTGTACAGCAGCTTTCATCTGCTTGACTGTTCAGTCTTTGGTTAGGAGAACTGTAGTGAGCAGCTCAGTATAGCACCAAGTACAAAAACATGAACAAAACTTTCTTCCAAGGTGAACTATAATAGTAATACTTCAGAAACTTCAAATAACGTAAAATTTCTTAGGTTGTGAATCTGTTCTACCATTAAAGACAGCAGTTTCAGCTAACATGCTTTTACCTGAAGAAAACAAACAATAACATAAAATACCATGACAATTTTTATGACACTCATTCTTTTACTTTTGTAGAAGTGTCAAGAATTAGTGAGTCAATGGCTTAATGCAATCCTTGTTATTGTTACTTATTAGTAGCCTCATTTCAATTGGTATTCTGTAACAGAATTCTGTTTTAACTCCTATTTATACATTCCCTCTGTGAGCTGCAAGACCATGACAGCTAGATGTGTGTAGGTCATTTTTAGCCCTTTGCCATCTGAAAAACAGGGTTTCCATGTAATTGTGTTTTAAAGCACAAGTATGAACCTCGGGTTTAAAAACATTCATCTTTGCATGTTTTCTTTTCAAAAAAGGACTTAAAAATGCTGTACTACTTCTAAGAAGTAACTTTTAAACATGACACTGCTTATTTGTTGGTCATTAGCATAAACAGCATAACAAGCAGAATATATAAAACAGCTATTTTTATCAAATGCCACTTGAAAATAAATAGCTGAGAAAGAGCATGTTAAAAAAAAACATTTAGTACTTAGGAAATCCAACTCTGTTAAACTGTAATCCGTAGAATGTCTGAAGGCTATCCAGTCCTTATTTTCACTTGGTAATAAGAAATAAATGGACCTCAAATGAGAGGAGTCATTACATTTGGTTGGAGTACTGCACATCCTTACGTTATCTTCATAATTTCCCATTCACGACGGCACTAAATTAGTTAGCATTAGTTTGAAGAATCAGTGGCTAAAGAGAAAGCACATTTTGCAGTATTACTTTCCAAAAAAATGGAGTTTGTTTTGGTAAAAAAAACCCAACCTAACAAGTAATAAAGGCACACAGAGCTTTCTACAGTACAGTTAGCAAATTAATTTGAGAATTATCCTCTGAAATGAATGCAGGCTTTTTAAGGCAGTAAAAATATAAATTAAGCGGTATTTTTACATTTGTATGTCTACCTTTCTATTGTACATCAAAACCAGAACACTCTGGTTGGCAATTTCCAACCATTCCAACAATTAAAGGGATTAATACCGTCGTATCTGTACTGTGAAGGAGAATAATAAAAATGATGTACTTTTAATTGGGGTATTACACACATTAAAATACTGACTTTCTTGTCTAGGTATTTATATGCATATTAGCAGAGTGCTGAAATGATATATTTTGGTCCTCTTGATAAGTAAAATTCATTTTAATCCACAAAGTTTGCACGCCCTTTATGACATTCAGGGAAAAGTAAAATAAGTGTTACAAAGTTTTGCCTTTGATTTCGTCTATTATGAACAAAAGCACTTAACACGAACCTTTGCAAATGTTCTCTCTCATTCACTGATTGCAGTCAAGTACAGGTGGTTTATTATGTATATATTATGTGAAAGAAATCCTGATCTCTGTTAACAGTATTAAACTGGACTTCTAATTTCCTCTTGCAGTCTTATCTAAACTGTATGCTCTCCTATTGCTGCAGCCACAACAAAAAAATTTCTTTGTGTATATTGCCAAGGAAAAAGGGTTTCCTTATTTTTCTACCGTCAAAATTAATTGCTTGTTAAATTTATTTTTATTTCATGATTTTAGATCTTCTTTAAGTTTGCTCTTTTCCTCACTTTTTATGAACTGATACATACATTCCTAATTTCAAAGCTTTTCATAAATTCACCTCTTTGCAATTAGTTACGATCTCTGCGTAAAAAATCTGCAGCAGTGCTCTATTTTGCTGGAACTGGAATGTTTAGTGTTATAGGTGGTATTTTCCCCATTTTGCCAAATAAATATGAGGCAGGGAAACTTCCTAAGTTCTAAATTAACAAGATTATTGGTAAATCCAGGTGGTAAACTTAGCATTTGCCATAGATACACTCCTAATAATTACTTCAACAGGACTAACTTCCTATTTGTTATTATATTATTTTCAACAAAAGCTTTTTTTATGCTTTGTATTTCCTAGAATTCAAGATATTTTTAAAAAGCAGGAAACTGTTATGTGTTACAGAAATAGGATCACTACTAGCTAATAGCCAGAAAGGAACTTAATTAACAAATATTTCTGGTAAATTGAGAGTTGATTGTTTTTAAACACTAGCTTTTGTGCTGATAATTATGTAAATGCTTTTTTATTACTGACTAATTAATACATAATTTTGACTTGTCTGTAACTGATAAATGGCACATGTTTGGACTTTTCCTGTATCTGTCAAAGCCTCCTAAGCATTATGGAGCTATCCAAGTTTAAATACTGAAGTTACCATCAAAAGTAACATCAAATATTACAATCTTGACAGTACAGTTCATACTACAAGATAAGAAAACAGATGAGATTGTTTTCCAAAGTGAGGGAACCTTTCATCATATCTTTTAATTTGTACTGAGGAGCTTAAGAGCTTAATTAAATTGCTTTTCAGCATGGCTTTCAATTTTCAGTGTTGTCCAGAAGGACCAGCTAGAGCACACTACTCAAGGATTTGAACATCTTCATGGACAGAGACTCTGCAACCTGTCAGGGCAATCTTTTCCAATAATCAGTCTCCTTTTACACTAAGATTTTTTGTTATCATTTCCAAATGGAATTTCGTAGATTTCATTTTATGTCTGAATACATTTCCCGTTTACTTTCCTTAAGATATGCTTTGAAAATATCCCTGTAAAACACCTTTATGACATTGTAGATGTTTTTCCTTTTATTAACATTCCTGCTGTAACACTCAATTTCTCTGTCTCATATCTCACATCTTTCCTTCTTATCCCATTTTCCCTTTAAAATCTTGCATAAGTATTTAGGTGAATAGCTGCCCTTCCCTCTTGAGTTTTAAATGAGTATCAATATTACTGTTGCACACTAACTGCAATTTTATAATTATCCGAACCCATCTAGAAGATTATCTCTTCAGGCACCTACTTACACAGGTTTGAAGCCAAATTAATGTACAGTACACTCCTACAGAAATGGACAAAGCCAAACCAAGAATTAATTTGGCGTTACTTCAACTGGGAAATAAGGAGAAGCAATAGAAGTAGAAGCAGAAATCTCATACTCATGTCAATGCATGTACATATAAACATCTGAGAAGAATATAGATTTTTCAAGGAACAGACTTCAAATACAAAATTATTAATGAGCTATCACTGTATCCCAAAATACAGCTTTCGTAGACACAATCACCTACAAAGTTGAAAAACTCCTCATGTAGGATACATACATAGGTGACTCTGAAAGTAATGCACCCTATTTATTTCCACTGAGATAACAACAGATAAAAAGAGCACAGTAAAACTATTTGATGGAGCTAACGCTCAGCTGCAAAACAGTTTTTCAACAGTCGCCAGCATTAGCTAAGCATTTTCGCCAGTGATGAGGCCTGAATGCCTCACCAGTGGAGGTGACCCACTGCTTCACAACTGCTATCGTGGCATTGTTGGTTGCCCATGTGGTTCATCTTTCATCAGCCTGAACGGATAGAAGTCAGAAGGTGCAAAATTCAGACTATATTTGGTGTGGTAGGACAGTTCAGCCAAGATAGGCAATGTGCTATATGTGCTTCAAACTGGTATGGGGCCTGGCATTATCATCTTGCAAGGGAGAAGTTGTCATCTTTTCTGGCCTGACTGGAAGTGTAAGCCTTCAGTTTGGTCAGTATCACAATGTAGTAGTCTGTGTTGATGCTTCCACTGGGTTCCAGAAAATCCAGAAGGATCATCCCTTTCTTATCACAAAGTAGAATGCACATCACTGTACCTGCTGAGGGCTGCATCTTGAACTTATTTTTCTGTGGGGAAGTCACATGGTTGTCACACCATGGACTGGCATTTTGATTCAAGCTCATAGGGGTGACCCCATCTCATCACCTGCGGTGCGATGCAGGACACTGTCACCTTCAGCATTGTATTGGTTCAGTTGGTCCTTATAAACTTGCATATGGTGTTCATTCTCTTCCTCTGTGAGCATTCATTTGTGAGATTCCAGTGTTGCCACCATCACTTCCAGCGTATTGAAGATGATACTCAGTTTAGTGCAGAATTACCTGGTCATAATCTACTGGTCGGTGAGGATGAGCTGATTGAGATGTTCTTCATTTTGCAGTGACTGTCCAGAATGTGGCTTGTCTTTTATGTCACTGTCACCACTGTTGAAATACACTATCCACCACCTCACTGTGCTCACGGTGTTTGATCTCTGAAAATATTCAGCAAGCATTAACAAATGTCAGTGGGCGCCATTAGTTCTGTATGGAGGAATTCAATGACAACCCTTTGCTTCATCCACACTTCCAGGTCAGACGCCATTTTGTCAGACTGTGTCATCTGTCACATGACAACAAAATGGAACAGAATACTGGTGGGAAGGTTCTACTTCTATTGAAGTACCACCAACATTAATCTCTGATGTCATGGGCCAACATCATAAAATAGAAGGCTTACTTTTGGAGCAGCTCTCATAATCACATCTGCATTGGAGCTAAAAACAGGTGAGTAAGTAGGCTTCAACTATGCCACCTTTAGGGACAATATACCCAACAAACAAAACCCACTATTAGTTAGCATTATTCTGTAGCAATTACTTATTTAAATAACTGAGCTTTTTACTTTACTAATGTGTACTTTACTTGCTTAATAAATAAATGTAAAATTCCCAATAGCATCTAAATTGACTGTTGAGAGACACCAAATCTGTATTTTCCTTTTCAGTATTTTTTTATGTCTATTTTCTTTTTTCTGCTGTCAAAAGAATATGTCTCAGTAGATCAGCCAGTGTTCTCTTTAATTTGGTTCACTGGAAGTGATACTTTACTTGTATTTTTTAAAGTTAGATATAGATGTATTACTTGACCAAACCATGACATTTAGAAAAATACACATGGCCAGCACAGCAGCTGTTTTTTCGCTTAGAGATTAAATATGCTTAAAGATGACTGGTCTCTAACTGCATTCTATACTAGCTATTTAAAAAACAAAAACCAAACAAAAAAAAAAAAAAAAAAAAACTTTTAATTTCCATATTTTTTCATTTTCTAATTCCATAAATAGGAAAGTTTATGTTTTAAGCACATCTGTGCAAAATAACATTATGTATCAGGATGGAAATAGCTCCCCAACTCCCATTGCAAAGGCCCACATGCTGCTTGGTGCGATCATCTTCTGGGAGTTTGACTCTGGGGGTCATTTGCCTGTGTGCTGGGGTTGCTGATGGTATTACTGGGTACTGGGTCTGACTGGGATGGAGTTATTCTTCAAATAGCCTGTCTGATGTTGTGTTTTAGGTTTGTAACCGAAAAGATGCTGTTAACACACTGATGTTTTAGCTGTTGCTGAACAGACCTTGCACACCGTCAAGACCTTGTCTGTTTCTTAATCTGCTTCCCTGGTAAATTGGGGGAGTGCAAGAGTTTGGGTACAGTCATAACCATGCAGATGACCCAAACTAACCAAAGAGATATTCCACACCATACAACACCACACTTAGCAATAAAACAGAGCGGAGCAATATTTAGGTGCATTAATTGTTTCTTGTTCAAGAACTGGCTAGGAATCAATCTGCCTATGAGAGGTGGTGAGTGATTGCCTTTTCATCACTTGTTTTTTCACTTTTTTTTTTTTCCTCCCGTTCTCATTCCCTCACTTTTGCTCTTCCTTTTCTCTTCTGTGTCTCACTGGGAACAGAATGGCGTGAGGTGGGTGGGTAAATGAGCTGCTGTATGGTGCTGCCTTGCCTCCTGGGACAACAACAAATACCTGTACTCCCTGGTTCCACAGCTGGGTGAGGCTGCTGACATCTGCCCATCCTCAGGAATGGCCAAAAAGCTCTCATCGTAATAATACTAGAGGACAAAGCTGGACACGGCCAGTGACCTTGGCATGAAGAAGGTCCAAAGATTATCCACTTCTATCTCACTACGTTAAAAAAATAAAGAAATTGCATCTTAGCAGACTTGAAGATTATATCTCAAACAGAAAGAAAGATTATATCTCAAAATATAGTCTTCAAGAAATAATTCATAGAGCTGTCTGTCAAGATGAATTTGTTCAGGACAATCTATATCAAATGGGAACGGACCAACCTATTGCTAAACTAAAGATTACACGAATATGTTGGTGCCAGGACTGAAAGGTGAAAAATATCATTTGGAAAAAAAAGAAAAGCAATAAAAAATAGCTATAAAAGTTACACTAGGAAGACACAGTAAAATAGCCTTTAACCTTGTCATCAGTACTTCAAGAAAGAAAACTTCCCAGACAAACATAAATTCGAGCCCAAAGAAAGATGATAAAGCTTAACAAAAGCTTCAGTGAAGCGGAAGCTACAAATGAGAGACAAAACACATCCCCTCCTCTTCCAAGAAACAAAATAAATCTTCAGTCTGTATCATTCTTCACAGCCAGCAGCTGAGTTAGTGACAAGCCAGTTGTAATACTTCTAGCATCCCTGCTAGGAATTCAGGCAACAGGAGAACAGCAGTCTCCATGCAGTGTTTACATACATGCATACCCACTTCAGGGAAAGCTATTTACTGGATTTTTGAGTGATTTAAGCTATTCAAATCAATAATGTCTTCTCCTCTCCCACTGCTCTGTGAGTAGGCCGTGTCTGACTGTCACAGGACTGTCTGTGCAAGAGATGGTTTCTTCATTTCTATCACTCCTCTTTTCCCATTCAAGACAAAATAAGTCCCAGCAATAGACAGACACAAACTCAAAGTACAGACTGGAAGAGAGAACTGCGATTGACTGAAGTCACAGGCAAAACTTCCGTGGTCTTCATCAGTACCAGAAAATCACACTTTGTATGGATCCAAACCTGGAAACCAGGTTACTGCATGGCAGTAAGTAGCAAGGAGTAAAAGGGAATCAAGCAGTGTTATTCATTTTCTGATATTTATTCATCACATTCTTTTTTTTTTTTTAGGAAAAGCTTAAAGTAAGCCCTTGTTTGTGTGTGTTCTCTTGAGCCACTGACTTAGCAGATATTCAAAGCAGATGCAATCCAGGAGTTGGAGATAAGCTAAATTAAAACCAACATGGATCTAAACAAAGGCTGTAAGCGTCGGAAGCAGGGAGATGTGATTCACTCCGTGTGTGTCCAGAGTCAGCTTCTGTGCTATAAATCCTTTGATGGATTCGAAGAGCTGGCTCAAAACATTTCTCGTCAACACACAGTTACACAACCTGTGCAGGCAGCCAGACAGATTGAGATGAATCAAAAAGCTGAACAAGCACCAGCAAGGCAGAAACAGCAAGGCCTAGGGGATGGTTCTCTCTTGCCCAAGGATGTGTTTGTGCAGCCACAGCCCATCCACACATCTCCACATCTACTGCATGTTACATTGATGATGCCACTCACTGACTTACCCTATTTCCACCAGTTCAGCAGTGCTGTATTGTTGATGTCACAGAGGCATTTGCCCTGCTGTAATATCTTATGTCTGAACTTTGTATTATGAACTGATTTCATCTAATTAAAGTTTTAAAAAAACAGATAAGAGACCAGTTTTGTATTACTGCTTCAAGTGATCTCAGCTGTGGACCAGCAGACCTATACCAGTGCAGCTAAGAAAAGGAGCTGACTCACTTTTATATTACAGCACTACTCTTAAGTGCATAAGTGAGCACATTCTCTGAAAGCATACTGGACTACATTTTTTTCCAACAGCAAGGATGTCAAAGTTTTATCATATAGTGACTCCTTCCTGGCCAATAAACTGAAAGTAAACAAATGGAAAAAAAGTAGTGAACACAAGAACCCAAAGAAAACTCTACTATGATAAAACTAGAATAGAAGTGTAATGTTTAGTTATGTGCATGTACACAACAGGACAGGCAATGATACAGTACTTTAATCTGTACTGTCTATATAAAACATTTATTTTTAAGCTCTATGTTAGTATAGAAATACATAGAATATTTTATAGAGTGTATTTTAGTGTACTCACTGTGAAAATAACACATTTATTAAGACAAGTATTCTTATGTCCAAACTTTATTTAAATATACGCACTGCTTTGCCTTGCAGAATTACGTGACTGTGAAAAACAAAGTATCCATAGTCAATTTGCTCCTCACCAGAATCTTCTCATTGCGATTTCCCTGGGTCATCCACAGTGCTCACTGCTGTGAGATAGTTTATAAAAACCATGAGAGTTCTTGGACTGGTAGATTTCCTATATTTGTTTGCATTCATGTCTAGTGCACATAGCTTGTCGTTCAATTCTCCATGTGCCTTCTTCATAAGTGCAGTGACATATAGTGCATTCGTCAGTCTTCACCTCTCGGCCCGCAGGAATGACAGTGGTTTCTGCAAAGCAGTTTGGACCTAAAGAAAGGAAAGAGTTTGTTACGTGATACCCACAGCACACCATAATCCAACACAATTCAGTTTTAGTCTCGAGCACTGAAAATCTAACACAAAGTCAGTAACACTGGGCACAGTTAACAAACAGGATCGTTGTACACATCACATAAAAGAGGCAAAGAGGAAAGGAGCCTTGCCTTCTAAACTGGATTCTGATTTTCTTCTGGTTTCAGCAAGGGCTGCCCTGCCCTCTGCAAGTGAAGTGAGATACATCCCTTGTGTGAACACAGCTATGACAGGCACAGACTGGTCAGAATGCCAAAAAATGATTTAAGCAAGAGAAAAACCTGGTCATCGATGATGAAAAAATGCTATTAGGGAGCAGATTATAAATGTGATCAATTCTCCATTGGAAGCACACAGTGCATTTTGTGTAGTAGTCAAAGTATCAGATTAGTTTATTTTTCATTTCATGAGAAATCCCAGGATGTATTAGTGCCAGCCTCTTCTGAATAAAGTCTCTTTTCATGGACAGAATGAAGTATTCCATTTTATGTAAGTCAGCAAGTGCACAAACGTCCTTTTTGTAGTACATTGAAATGACTTCATTTCCAAGGAGGAGGCAGGAGAACGAGCCACCGGCACTAAGTTCACAGCACTAATCTGATCCTTTCAGAAGGTGACATCCTCACATCTCTCCACTGCAGAAGGCTGCGCATGCTGCATTATCTACAGCTCTGTTAAAAAGAAGTATCTATTTCTGCCTTGAATATCCACGCACGTTTGTAAAGCAGCACTAACCCCTACCAATCACCTCCTGTTATTCATGTTCTCAGCACGACTGGGCCCGCTATTCACTGAGAGCACAGAACTGCTGGGGCACAGCCTGGTTATCCTGCAGCATTGCGTGCCACCACCCACCAGGTGGAATGTGCAGCGTGGGGCAGCGTGCTCCCATCCCTTCTGATACTGTGTTGCAGTTGAAATTCTGATGGAAAGCTCTGGCAGTCAACCGCCAGCCTGTCTGCCACACCAGTAAATAAATCACAGGTGAAGTTTAATCTTCCACCCCCAGAAATCTGCTGTAGGAACTAAGCCACACAGTTTTATTAAAGCATTTTCTCTGAAAACCGGAGGTCGGTGCTAGCTCCACATTTTAAACCACAACTCAAATAGTTCACAGATCAAATGTAATAGTTGTATCTCTGGTTCAGACGGTGCATTCATGCACTGATATAGCAGCCAACAAGCAGTTGGCTGGCTCACGTCCAGCTTCTTGTCCACCAGGACCCCCAAGTCTTTCTCCACACATCTCATGTAAAGTTATCTGCATTACTACCCTAGAGTGCTTTTGTGTTTGCCCATCCCTCAGCCTGTCCCAACAGCACACTAAGCAGGAAAGAGGACCTGGCCAGTGCAGAAGGATGAGCTGCTGGATACCTCTGCACATGGGGCACTGTCATACTTGCAGCTGAGATAAAGCAATTACTGACTATGCCATTCTCCGTGGAATTTTGAGAGATTTCCAGTGTAAGCTGCATAGCTCTATATCAGTTAAATACTATTCTTCTGGGCATACTAAGCTTTCATCCCAAGATGGGTCCATCCTCACCTTAGTGATATACCTGAGTGTTTTACATGCCAGCTCATAATAGCTTTTTGATATAGAAAACTGCATGATAAAGAGTTAAAATATTAAAAGTAGAATCCACTTTCCATGAAGAAATTCTCCATGAGACCTGCAAGACCACTTGAAATTCAACCACTATTTAAAAAGCAGGAGAAAAACATGTGATGACAATCCCATGTACAAGATTTTCTGGAGAATTCGGTGCTACAGGCTATACTTGATTATAAAAACCAGGCAGAGAACAAAGTAAAAGCTGTGCAACATATGTAATGTAATTCACTAGAATTCAGAGTGCAAATGCTTCCATTCACTATAGCAGTACTTCAGTGCTATGCGTGACTAATCTTACTTAAATCAGAAAGTTATTAAATGTAAAGAGAACAAGTTCATCCTAAACTGTTAAACTATTTAATATGGGGGAAATGCTTCTGTTGAGAAACCTACAGAATGGCGACATCTCAAGCCATCTGCTTCAGAAGGCTGCCAACAAAACCAAATGACACCAGCAAAGCATGTTGTCAAGCAAGTCTCATGCAACCATTATATGGAAAATCCTGATTCTGCATTTGCATCTCTCATTACTGTAACTGCAAATGTTACCTAAAACTGGCAGTAGTCAACTCACATCCCTGCCTTATCTTTTTCTTTGTGTGTGTACAACATCCTGGGTAATGCGACAAGTAAGGTCACCAATGAAGAGGCTGAACTGACTGTATTACAGCAACACCCCACAGTAAATGCCAGTACAATATGGTTTCAACACTGGAAACAGTTCCCCAGCTCTCCTTTCATTGTTTCTCCAGATCCTAAGACCTCTTCTCCCACCCCAGCCTCTCCTGTCCCTGTGTTATGGGGAAGGCAGTGGAGTGTAGGGAGTTGCCCATCATGGGTATTGTGCTAATGAACCAGTAACTGATACTATTCTTCCTCCTTGGAGGGGAAACTGAGAAATTGAGGATTTTAATGGGCAGTGGGAGAAGAAGGTCGAGTGGGCATAGGAAGGGTGGTTTTAGACCAGAAAGTGCCATTTCCTCACTCTCCTTTAGGATGAAAACAGAAAGTGGTGTCTCCTCCAAACTCAGAGTGGATACGCTGCCTGAAAGGCATGGCATTTGCTGGAACTTCTGCTTTACTTAAAATTGTGCAGTTCATATAGGACATATGGACAAAGTAGGATTTCCAGCTTCCTGTCACAAAGGGCAGGATATTTTGAGAGTTCTTAAATAGTTCTCCAAATTACCTCACTTCGCACATGAGAAGCATTTCAAAGTAAGAGGGGGGGCTGCTCTAATGCCAAAGTGTTGGTGGATTTTCTGGCTGGATGTTACTGGTGTACAGTAAGTCGCAGAGTGCAGCTCCTCTCTGTTGCCTACAAAGCAGGCTGCCTGCTCTCTGCCGACCTGCAGGGACACCACTGCAGTGACATCTTGTGTCTGTGCATCCTACAGCAGCAGTGCGTTCTTGGAGCCTATTTCGTCTACTGCACAAACGTCCTGGGCCACATCCCTAATTGAGTATGTTCATATAGCTCTAAGGAAGGTTGTGGTGCTGCACATCTTTGCAGTGAATTAAGATCTTACCGTATCACTCTTAAACCTGGCAGAAAATTCAATATGACCTACTGTACCAATTCCAAGCACAGTTTGAAATCTACCACGACATCATTTGTTTCCCTAAAGCATGTCCTGACGCTGTCAGACTCTGTTTGAGCCATACCATACTGGTACCTGTGGAGATTCCTTTTCCAGGGCTAAAGCACTGCTACTGCTGCTGTCTCAGCAATGCCTCAAAGCAGCAAACTGACTGCAAGCCCTGCGTTGTCACACTGAGCACCAGATTGGAGAGCTTGAAATGTTCAAAACAGTGAATCACAGCTTCCAAAACTGCGTTTGTGCTGGGATGTAATCAATCAGGAGAGCCTATCTGGTGGTTAATTTATAACCGGAGGGCCATTTCATACATGCCTTAGCCCTG